CAGAGCCCGGCTTTACAGGACATGAGATCTCCGGCCGGCTGCCAGCGGAGCTCAGCCCCGCGTGCCTGCTCTTTCCAGAGTCCGTATGCTCTTTTTCGAGGGAAAATCGGTTCCCTGGGGATGTTGTCCTCGGTAACAAGCACGATGCTGTCCCTGCGGCAAAGAGGGAGAGCGAGGAATCCTGCTCAGCCACCCTGGAAATATCTGCAACCACATAACGCACGGGGTACCCGAGGACCCCGGTTTTGTTGGCATTTTCTGCAGCTTCTGGATGTTGCTGCTCGCTTTCAGGGACTGCCAGGCAAAGCAAGACCATGCAGACCATCAACCTGTTAAACGTCTCCACCACGATTATAACCGGTTCTGAGTTGACCATTACCAAATAACCATTGAGATGTGGATTCTCTCTCCACCTCCGATGGACCAGGCTCCTGGGCTGGAAGGGTTTGATATTGGTTTCTTTAGAAAACTCTGACGGTGGGGATAAAGACATCCCTTGTAACACACCCATCCGATTTCAACGTCTGAATGCCGCGCAGCACTTGACCCCACCGCAGGCAAGGACCCTGCCTGCAAAGGATGCGAGCTCCGCAGGCAGGAGAAAAACCTAGATGAAAGCCAGTATCCCACCTGGAATGGCCCCAGCCTCTCCCCAGCACATCCCGCAGGGCTGCCCACCATTTATCTCCAAATCCGTGTCCGTGTGTCCTTCCTCCCCTCCTTGGTTGTAGAGGGGTGTATGAACAGTCCCACTGCTGCTTTTCCTTCCCTCCTGCAACCCCTGAAAGGGGCCGGACTGAATTCAAACGGGAGATGCTTCGGCCAGGTGAGCCAGGCACAGGCACCCAGCACCTTCATCCTCCTCCTCCTCCTGCCCTCGGCCCCTCTGCTGCCCCAGGCCCCAGCGAGGTTTTTGCAGGCTGACAGCAAGGTGCTGGGTGGCTCCGCATGTTCAATCTGCAAAGCCACCTCGCTTGGTGACATCTCGGCTCTGCGAGGATGGTCCTCTCCTGCCCCAAACAGCCCGGTTTTGGTTGGAAACACCTTGAAGCTGATGGGTACCACGGGGACACGGGTACCACGGGGACACGGGTACCATGGGGACACAGGTATCACAGGTACCATGGGCACACAGGTATCACGGGTACCATGGGCACACAGGTACCACGGGGACACGAGTACCACGGGGATGCACGACCAGCTCAGAGCTATTTCCAGGCCACCCCGGGGCTACATGCCTAGAAAGCGGAGAAGGGACACGGGTAGCACGGGGACACGGGTACCATGGGCACAGAGGTATCACAGGTACCATGGGCATACAGGTACCATGGGGACACGGGTACCACGGGGACACGGGTACCACGGGTACCATGGGCACACGGGTACCATGGGCACACAGGTACCACGGGGACACGAGTACCACGGGGATGCACGACCAGCTCAGAGCTATTTCCAGGCCACCCCGGGGCTACATGCCTAGAAAGCGGAGAGCCCCAGAGAGGGACCCAGGGGACGGTCCAGGCTCCTGGGCAAAGCCAGACCATAAGCTCGGGTGGCCTCGCAGCAGCGGGACACCATGGGGACGCCGCTCACCTGGTGGTAGTGTCAAACTCGAAGGGAAAAATGATGTCGCTGCTGTTGCAGATCTGGCAGATGAAGCCTCGCTGGGTGCACAGGTCACAGTTGTAGACGTGATGGGAAGCAAACTGGAGCAGAGACTGCAGGAAGGTCTCAAAGACGCCATCGGCTATCTGCGGGGCAGAGATACGTCAGGCAGGCACGGAGCCTGTCTCCCGTCGGGTTTACGCTGTGCAAAATCCACATTACACCCATGCTTCGTGCTGTCACGTGAAGACACGGCTGTCCTCCAAAAACAACCCACATCCCACGTGCCTGGGTCGCAAGGGGACCTCAGAGACCCACAGCAGCACCCACAACCTGCCAGGACGGGGCTCCTGGCTTTGGAGTCGATGCGAAATCCAACCACCCATCGCTTCCACCGTTATTTGCAATAGCTACAAGTTTGCATGGAGAGGCACTAGCAGCAATGCTGGCTTAAATAGCGGCGAAGCGATTTATCTTGTGTGATCTCTGTAGTTCTCAGAGGATACAGGCTTGTACCAATTATTTTGGCAAATTAAAATAAAGGCAATTATTTGCCTTTAAGCTGATGCGAAGCTTGCGGAGTGCACATGACGGATGAGAGCAAGGCAGAAGGAAAACGAAGCTATTTGAAACCTTCTACTGATGATGATGAAGTGCCGACAGAAACCGGGATGTTTTCACCAGCAAACCCCCTACGATCACGCAAAGCTCTCACCTGCCTCAGATCAGCGACGCTGTATTTGTGGGGACACTCCAAGAGGTAGTGCCTGTGATCAAGCCTGCAAAGAAGCACAGAGAAGAAGGTGGTAGATGGTTTCCGCCACATCTCCAATAGCTTTGGAGCAAGGAGGACCCTGGATGACGCAGACTCTTGAAGAAAATCATCGCAGACCTGATTTTCGCGTCGTGCCACACATCCCAAATCCTGCCATTGGAAATCGTGTGAGAGCATTTCAAAGGCAGGGAAAAGAAAATAAATATCTATTTTCCCAGGTGTTTCCTGTCCAGCCAGAAGCTCCTTGGTCAGGAAGGTGCTTCCTGAGTTACATCTCAACGTGGCGACCCAGCCAACAGACGCGTAACTTCTTAGAGCAGATGACGTGGAGCTAAAAACCAGCCCATGCCTCGGCAGCATCGCTCCCCGCTCCAACAGCGAGCGATGAGGAGGACCAGGAGATCATCGGGGTGCAAAGAGGGGGATGCAGGCGTAATGCCACCCAGAGAGGGACCTCACCGCTTGCTCAGCTCCTTCAGGGCCCCGCTGCGGCACATGATGAGATAATCTCCCAGCAGCTTCAGCTGTTCCCTGCTCCGGCGGATCCGTCCCATCCTCTCCACGTGGTCGTAGAGGCTTTCGTTGACCAGCTTCAGGTCGATCAGCGGCTGATTACGGATCTGGGTGAGGAACTTCAAAGCCTGCCGGCAAACCTGGGGCAGAGAAAGGCAAGAGGTGGGCATGCACGGAGGAGCAGCCCAGGAGGCTTGAAGGGAGATTTAGGGTGGACATCTCCACCTCTGCTGATGGTGGAAACGTTCAGATGGACCTTCAGGAAGCACAGGCAGATGCAGGAATATTTTCCTGCTCCCTGCACCGACCGAGCCCAGACTTACCCCTCGTTTTGTCAGATCCCAGTTGTGGATGAGGCGCGAGGGAATCACCGTCTCCTCGTCCCGGTGGCAGCTGTCGCAGTAGTAGAGACCAGAGAAGGCGCAGAGCTTGGGCTTCGCGAAGGAGAAGCCGATCTGCCTGGAGCAGCCTGCAGGGAGCAGGGACGAGGGGATGAGAAGGGATACGCGCTGCCCCAAGAGCTCATTCCCGTTGCTGCCAGGATGGGGGGAGAAGCTTTTGGGAAAGGGGCAATGGAGCAAGAAAGTTTTTGGAAGGGTTGGAGATCAGCTAAAGCACTTGTAGAATGTTCGGTGAGGGGTCCCCAGCCCCTTACCCATGGATTTAAGACCATGATGGTCCAACAGGAGCCGTTTCACTTTTTCCTCCATAAAAAAGGAATCTGGACTATCCCTGAACCCACTTTTATCCATCACGTAGTTCAATTGTTTCTTTCTTTTTTTTTTTTTTTTTTTTTTTTTTTATGAAAAGTGAATTCTGGAAACATCCCAGTGGTTTAGGGAAGAACCTAAATCCCACCTGCCTGCCTCATCACCTCCTCCCGTAGCTTTGCCCCATTTTGCCTTCACTCAGCCCTTCTCTTTCCCGCTGCCGCTGCAGGGTACCAAAACCACATCTGCAAAAGATCCTCGTCTGCAAGGGATGAGGTTGGGATGGATTAAGCCAAAAAAAGCCTTTATTACAGCGGTGGGTAGCCCAGGAGGAACCCAGCTCGGGTCTTGGGGGAAATCTGCAGGGTTTTTATAGCGACTTGAAAAGCGAACGCATCTCATTTGGAGTTGGGAAGGCAGGAAAACTCTTCGTGCTATTTTTAATGGGTTCAATTCTCTAAAATAACTTGATCAAGCGTAAGCGAACTTCTGCTATCCTCGGGGAAGGCTTTACCACCCCCCGTCTCCTTCATGCTTTGGGGTAGGTGGAGCGCATCCCATAAAAAAAAATTCATGGCGGCCAGGTGTTGCTCTTTGAATTAATAAAAAAAAGGACGTTTTTATCATTCATTATGCCCTGACTCATAAGGAAACCACTCCTATGCCAGGCTCGGGTGTCAGGCTGGGAGGCAGGTGAAAGCGGGGCAGGCAGCCCCCTAAGAAAACCTACACATAAAAACCGGGAATTTGTCTTTTTGATTTGCTGCTTCCATCTGTTGGTAGGTGGAAGATGCAGGACAGAGCCTGGAGGGGAAGAGTAGACCAAGTAGAATGGAAAATATATATATAACAAAACCAGAAGAGAGATTAAAAGAAAAAAAAAACCTGCTGGAGGGTGCAAGAAATATAATTGAAGCAAGAGAGAAATCTGAAGTTTAATTAACTTACCAAGGTAAAGAGCAAATTGTACCTCCCGTGGAGGTCAGCGAGTGTTATCCTATTAAACCGGCATCGCCCCGCGTGCCGAGTGGAAGGATAAACGAATGTTTTGCAAAATCAGCTTGTCACACCCATCGCAATATTTGCTCCTGTGCTGCGTTACCAGAAAAACAGCATTTGCCCTTGACTGCACTTTCCCTGCAAGTTGGGACCACAAAATGCCCAGGAAGAGTGTCCTGGGCCTCTTGGTCCATCTAAGGTTGCCTTCAAGTGGTGGTGACCCACCACTGTCATAAGCATCTTAAACAGGAGCCCAGTAGCAGCCCAGTTGGACCTGTGCTGGGGTGGGATGGGGATTCAGCGTCGGGGGACTCACCCCGTGCACACAAACCACCAAAAGTGCCAACGATTTGGGACGCGAAACCCCACCGAAGGGCTTCGCTGCTACCTGGGGTTTGGATGGGGAAACCAGCAGCTGGCCTGCAACGGGTTGGCAGGACGCAGGGCATTTCTAATTTGATGTCACCTCGTTAACCTGAATGAATGCAATATTATCCTCCAAGACGGAGCTGGGTTTTTGGACAAGCCAACATCTACCTGCACAAATGAAGCTCTGTGAGTCCAGGCCCTTCTCCGTGGGGATGGCCACCAGGTATTGCAACAAGAAGCCGTTTTCCTTCACGATGTTCTTCAGGATGACCTGGGAGTGCCCGTCCAAGCTGCCACCCAACGTCAGCGCCTCCTCCGCGCTCTCCAGGTAGGACATGAGCACCCCTCGGACCAGCTCCCTCCACGAGGCCGCTTCTTCTGCGTTCTCAGCCTGCAGCTTCAGGACAGCTTTGGAGGTGATCACCTTGAAGAAGGCAGGTCCCCCAAGGCTCGTGTCTGGAAGGATGTCTTGGATGGTCTCTATACCGTAACTGTTGCTTAAAATTTTATCGTTGTTTCTGACTTTAAAGCACTTTAAAGTTTCTAGAGACAGGGAAAAAATAAAGGGGACCCAGGTTTTGTCTACGTCCACGTAGAGAATAGCCTCTTTGATTGCATCCAGCTCCGGTTCGTGAGCTGAAGTCCAGTCAAAGCTGTTCCCAGGCATGTCGCTGTACTGGAGAAGAGCAGCTGAGTCGCTCTGGATGGGCTGGCCTTCACCACCGTCTTCTGGATACTCCAGTGTCTCCCACTCCTCCTCCTCCAGCTGAGGCCGGCATTTCTGCAGCGCCTCGCGGATCCTGTCTAACCAGTCCTCAGCCTCATCTCGAGAAGCAGCTCGTAGGTAGAGTTTTTTCCCCAGGAAAACCAGCTCGAAACGGCCATCCGAGTGTGTCAGCGCCAGCGACTCGCACCGCAGCAGGGAATAGCTCTCGACGCAGATGCGGTCCTCGTGGTCCAAAAAAAGCTGGAGCTCCAGTGGCGACAGTTCGCAGGAAAACTCCTTCCATATCCCCATGGCTCCTCTCCGCTCCAGGCTGCCCAGCTTCAGGAGCCCTCGGAAAGGGTTGGAAAGACCTGGGACAAAAGCAGATGTCTTAGTTTAACTGAAAAAGGAGAAGCTGGTGGAGAGAGAAAAGCCAACGGGTGGCTCACAGCGAGCAGAGGCATCGCAGCTTTGAGAGCCAGTCCTGGTGGATGGTGGGACGGGGCAGGAGTTTACAGGACCTCGGTCTGCATGCATTTGGGTTTTGAGGCTGAGAACGAGTGGAAGAGCATAAAGGAAACATATCCCACAGAGTGGACAGAGACATGGGGACAGAGATACCCAACATACCTCCTCTCCCGCTAAAACGCTTCCCTCCAGAGCTACCGTGGTCTCAGCAACGCCAAGGGAAGCTGCCCCACTGCCTTCTGGAGCTTTTAGTGCTGCCATCAGCTCAGCAACGGCAAACTGGGCTTCCCAAACTGTCCGTCACCCGAAACACCGCCCCCCTCCAGCCCCTGAGCCCTGCCCAGTGTAGACACCTGACGAAAGCAGGAGAGGGGAGGGTGGCACGTACCCATCTGCCTGCGATGCACAACGCTGAAGCCCTTTTGTTCCCGTTCGGGTGACATTTTGGGCTTCCCGCTCTCCGAGGACGGCACCGACAGCCTTTCCAAGTCAAGAGCGCTAATGAGCCCTGGGGCTGGACCCTCGTCAGCCCCCTCCGGCCCAAAGCCGTTGGTGTCAGCCGTGCTTTCGCTGCTCTGTCCCGGAGAAGGCCTGTAGAAATCATCTTCTGAGATCCAGCTCTTTCTTTTCTGTTAAAAAAAAAAAAAAAAAAAATTAATTATCAAACTTACCGAATGCCCTGCGCCCCTCCACGGGGACCACTCCCATGCAGACTCAATCCCAAGCAGCAATGCTGGCCGTCTCCACGCGGACGGCTCCCCTGCTCCGGGGATGCTCCACGGGACTGTGTCGGCAGCTGACAAATACCAGGATTATATACTGGTGGGATTATAAAGTCCAAAACCGACCGGTTCTCTCCCCCTAAAATCATCGAGGACCTCAGAGGGAGAGCATGTTCCCTGCAGTAACCACATACAAGATATTTGGTCCTGGAAATATTTCTGATAGAGGGTGAAAAACCAGGGTTTTCATGGAAAACCTGCCGTGGAAGGGTACAAGCTTGCCTGGAGCAGCGGCACCATCCTTGTTCCAGGAAGAATAGAGACGGGGCAAGGTACAGAGAAGATGTCTAGGATGAAATAGAGACCTATGGCTTACAAGTAGATGCTACAAACACCACGCCTGATCAGTACAGGCAAAAAGTAAAGCAGGGAAGGCAGAGGAATCCTTTGTCTCTGTATGTCAGGAGGGGACGAGACCCACAAGCAGAAGAAAGCTCATTAAGCTGAAAGAAAACACGGCTGTAACCTCTCCAGGAATTTTTCTGGCTATAAGAACCGAGCGAGGTTCTGGGACAAGGTCTCCGGCAAAAGGGAGCAGCTTCCTTAGACTCACCGCATCCCTTTCGGGGCTTCATCCCACCAGGAACGACCTCTCGACTACCCTACCCTGCTTTCCAAGAGCCTTTTATTCTGAACAATGAAGCAAATGACAGCAGAAGAGCCATCACCACCCTGCAGCAAGGATCACGGGTAACTTGCGGTGCAGCTCCCAACGTAGAGGCAGGCTCGGCTTACTCCCGGACCAGGAACGCAGGTTGCTCCGTGAGTCATGCGAAAGCAGGGGGGAATTTCCTGTTGACACCGTATGTTATACATAGATTAGGTCAAACTGGCCCAACGCCACGAGGAAGCAGCGGAAACGGGATAACTGGGAGGGAGCTGAAAGGAGCAGGGACCAAAAAGAGAAACAGTTTAGGGGGGTATGAAGTATATCCTAATCCTACCAGGATGGAAACGATGGGAACCAGGACGGAAGCGATGGGAACCAGGACGGAAGCGATGGGAACCAGGACGGAAAAGTCAGTAACAAATTAGACAGAGGACGGGGCTGTTCAGAGAGTTTCCTAAAATCAAAAGCAAGTGGATTGTCCCCTCGTTGGCAGCAGGGGAAATCCGCCGCTGTTTAAGCTAGCCTAAGCACCACGGAATGCCATCCTGCTCTGGGAACAGATGTGCTGAGTGAATATTTTTCCACTGGAAAACTGCAATTTGTTTCCGGTCCTTTGCCTTTTCCCTCCTCTTACGTGCATGATACATGAAGAAAAGTCCCCATGACAAACTTGACTCTCAGGTTGTTTTATCTGCTTGCACAGAGCTTACGGCCAGATTTGTGCAAGAGCTCATCGCTCTCCAGATATCGTCAACAAAACCAAAAACTTCCTGTTGCAGCCACTCTTGGCGAGGAACGACTGGCAGGCCAGGCAGGATTTCAGAAGTTTTGGTGCCTCTTTTACCAAGGAATATCGACTTCGACCCAATTTCTCCCAGGGTAGCTGCATGGACACAGCTCCACGGGGTCCAGGAAGATGCTCCTGGAGCAGGGAGCATCACTCACACCCAACTTGCCGTCAGAAGGCTGGAAGCAAACGCAAGATGAGAGTTTGGAGAAACTGGTGCCTACTCAGAAGCTGTCACCAGTTTTATTTTCCTTTTCCATTAGATGTGCTGGTCAGGAAGCATAAAAACAAGGCGATTGATAGCAAGTGAGCTGTAACACCTACCGGACAACCCAGCAGCGGAGAAAGGAGGTATTCGGCCGTCGGGCTGCGGACAGCCTGGCTTGCCTCACTGCCGCTGACCGTGCCGCTTCTGCCTGTCTCTCCTCCACTGGGCCCGCCACGCGGCGTGGCCGAAACGCGGGCTGTGCCGCCGGCTTGCGGTGCTGCATCTCCATCCCCATCGCTGGCGGTCACCGCGTCGCCTGTCCGAGCGGAGCGTGGACTGTTGGCGTTGGGAGGCAGTTGCTGGCGAGCTCCGCGGGACGGT